AGGGGTTACCCTCTGTTTGCTGTCAGTGCCGGCGGATGGCATGTGGGCTCTCACAGAGACCCCGCACCACCCCCTCAGCCCGGCCCAGCCAGGGAAGATCCATAACAAACTTCCCATCCGTTTGACAGTCCGAGGATGATTCACTCACGGGCTGGGCATCGGCATGACAACCGGCCCGTTACCGCGGGAGCAGAGCGGCTGGACGCCGCGATGCCAGCAGTGTGCGTCCACGGTCCGAATAAGGCGGAGGCGGATGACATGGGACCCCCGTCCAAGGAAAACTATGCAGCCTGCTGAGTCTGGGCCTCCGGGGGGGGCTGTATTTCAGGGTTTGGAAGCGTCTGTGTGCCGCCCCACCCGTCTGACACCGGGCAGTTTTTTGGTCTCTAAGTCTGGGTTAGATCAGAGCCCTGGTCCATACTCACCCCCCCATCTTCCGGCACATTCTGTTCTACCCCAATTCCCCCGGTCCTGAGTCTGAGAGGGACATCCTGCTCAGCCCGGTGGGGGGGGGGGGGGGGGTTATGGTGCGGGGGTGGCAGCGGAAGCAGGGCTGCATTTTGTTGTGGCCCCGGCGTCTTTGTCAGCCCTGCCCCGGAACGCCGGTCCCTGAAGCCGCTCAGCCGATGACTCAGCACCCCCCCAGCACCCCGACGTGCCTCTCGCCGCCACCCCCGGCTCGTGTGATCCCCGCCACAGGCATGCAGGGCGGGGGGGGGGGGGGGGGGGGGGGGAGTTACGCTCTTGCAGCAGGAAGGCTGAAGCATTTTGGTATTAAAATAATCCATGGTAATTACAGTTTCTCTGCGGGTATTTGCTTGTGCTTCATGTTTTTAAGTTTTTTTGTAGTCTTCTCTTTACCCCCTGGGTCTGGGGGGGAGGGGGGAGCACCGTCAAATTGGATGGTCCCCAGCGTTCTGTGACAGCGTTCCCCGCCCTCCCCCCAAGTGATTTCGCCATCGCTGTGACTGTTTCTCTTCGCGAGTTATTTTCACGCTTCGCATGAGCTGATGTCCTGACCGTCACCGCACGTCCTGGTCAATGTCAGCGGTGGTGGGGCGGGGGGGTGGGGGGGGGCATTGATGGCTCTTCAGCGATTCTGTAACACAAATATGGCCACGTTCAGGTGTGTCAGACACACACAGAGACACACAACAGCCCCGGAGGTGGGAGTGTCAGGCGTGTTGTGCTGAGTAATCAGTGGTGAGCTGCTGTCAGGGGTGGGGTGCACACGGTGGGCTGGGGGGGTGTCTGGTGTCTACATGTGTGAGGTGTAAAGCTGAGGGAAAAGGAAGGCCAGCTGTTCATGGGGGTGGCAGGACCGGCAGGGTGGGGGCCACTATCGGACCTCATCATACCTCCCCGCCTTTCCCAGAATCCTCTGAGACACAGTCAGGACATGCGCTGGGCTCTGCAGATGACACACACACACACACACACACACACACACACTTGCCTTCTGTCCTCAGCTGCTTTGGCTCCTGAGAGCAGCCCTTGTGCCCCCCCCCTCCACTCTGCCCACCCCCACATCTTACCTGCCACCTTCCCACACTCAGATGAAAGAATTTCACATGCGTGATTTCACACCTTTGACAGTCTCTCCTTTTTTTTCCTTCCCTACATCATCTGTCTTCTCCTCCCTCTTTCCCCACTTTCCCTTGGCTTTCTTTCCCTCTTTCTGCATCCCTCCATCTGTTCTTCTCTTTGTCACCCCCCCGTACTCTTTCCAATCATCCCTCCACCCCCTTTCCTCCTCCTCTTTTCCTCCGTCTCTCCCTCCACCTCCCTGACCACATCCTTCCTCCTCCCTCCATCGGCATGCATTGGCCCCCGTGTAGCTCAGGCCTGTCCGCCGCCACTTCCCTCACAACGCCTCCCGCCTCGCTCTCCCCAGACACTGTCCAGAAAGCCTCTGCTCCTTCTCAAACACTCCCAGCCCTGGCCCGGCTGTGGCAGATGTACTCTGTGCTGCCCCCCCCCGCACACTCCTAGGAGGGGTTAGGTTTGAACACCCGCCCCCCCCCCACCCCAGCAGAGTTTGTTCCCAAACAGTCAGGAATTTGGCTACTTGTCCCTTTAATGTTTCCAAGCTGCCTCGCAGTCGGAGGACAGCCCCCCACCCCCCCGTTTGATTTCCTCGTCTTGCTCCCCAATCCTGTTTCTGCCATGCATCCCAGGCACTCTGAGAGCGGGCCATCGCGCCGACCCGCCGGCTCTCTGCGCGGTAAGTACCTCCCCCCCCCATCGCGGCGGCAATGCCGGGGAGAGTAACACTCCGTTTAGCGCACAGCTGTGCCGCTCCGACCCGCTCCGCTTGGGATCAGCACCGGAAATGTGAGAATGGGAAAAATGTTTCTTCCGGAAGAGTGGCACGTGGAGTGGGGGGGTGTTTATGAGCAGTGACTGTATTCTCAGCCCCCCAGTCTGGGGTGAATGCCGGGGGAGCGCGCACTTGTATTTTTGCTTCCTGCGTTTTTCCTCACCCTCTTACACTCTGCCTCACTCTCACTCTGTCCCTTAGCCTTTCACCATCTCCCTCACTCTTACTCTCTCCCTCACCCTCTCACACTCTCCCTAACCCTTTCACCCTCTCCCTCACTCGTACTCTCTCCCTTATTCTCTCATACTACATCACCTTCCCTCATTCTCGGCTCATCAAACAGAATCACTCATCCCCGATGGCCGTTGTCATGGTTGCCCCCAAACCGCTGGCATTTGTAGCGAGACCGGCCTGTTCCACTGTGTGACCCAGGAGGCTCACTGGGGGCGGGACGGGGACCATGAACAGAGCCAGACCCGAGGCTAATGGAGCTGCGCTAATGGAGCTTCTGTCACAGCGAATATGTGTATTATCCCCTCCATTAAAAGGCTCTTTCCGTGGGTGAGTTGTTTCTGAGGAGCGAGTGGCTGCACTCCCCCGTCACCTTGGTTGATTGGCATGGTCCAAGCGATAAAGCCCCTCCCCTCAACATTCCCTGGGCCCATGGGGATCCCATCTGTCGTTCCCTCCTGAAGTTCCTGCCTGGGTCCTCTTTGGCGGGCTGTGCATCCCGGGAAAGCGACGCTCCTGGGGCACACAGCAGATCTCGTGTGTCTGATATGCGAGATCCAGGCTGGCTCCTCGGCTGATATGTCGTGTTTAATTCTAAACCGATGGGGGATTGGGGGGGGGGGTGTTTCTAGGGTTGATTCGCCATCTAGTGCTGTTTGACCCCGCAGAAGGGCCATTTGTGCTTGTGTGTGTGTATGTGTGTGTGTGTGTATATGTGTGTGTGTCTGTGTGTTTGTAAAATGCCACTGGGGGGTACAGACTCAGCACCCCATGCCAGCTCTCTCAGTGCTGCCAATACGTGCCATTGCACGCTGATTTTAGGGTGGCGGTGGGATGGGAAGCGGACTCCACTAATTCTCTAATTGGATTAGCGTTCGCTCCGGCTGGCTGAGATGCAGATTATCTGCGGTTACCCCGTTCCACTGGGGGGGGGGGCTGCAGCAGTGAGACCCGCCAACGAAGGGCAAACAAGCAAGGGGAGGAAGCACGGGCAGGGTGTGGTGGTGGGGGATGCGGGGGGGCTTTAGCTTCCCCTCCTTCCCTGTCATCCCGCTGTACTTACTCATTGCGTTTTTTCCCCCAAGTGGCAGTGGGGGGGGGGGGGGGTTACAGGTACAATGGCAGAGTCCCATGTGGACTCCAGCTCTGCTCCCAGCACCGGCCCAAATCCCTGCCTAAGTCATCCTGCTCATTTCCCAGAATGCACTAAGGCATAGATGTGGTCATCATTGGCTGCAGGGTGGAGCAGCTGCTTTCTGAATGGGAAACGGGGAAAGCAGCTCATCATGATGGGTTTTTAAATCACTTATTATGGGTAACAGACTGAGTCTGAGTGTGTTATGGCTGTCTGAGTAATGGGGGTGTGTGTGTCTCTCCTTCCTCGTCTCTTACTTTGTGCTGGGGGGGCGGTCGTCTCCATGTTGGTGTTTTATTTATTACACCTGGTATAAAACAGCCCCAAACCTGTTCTCTTCTTTATTGCCCCCCCTCCCCCCCCCTTGAGATGTTGTTCCTTTCTTCTGTGTCTCTGAGACCCTGGGGGTTGGGGGGGGGGGCGGGGGCAAACACTCAGGAGCAGCGCTGTAAATTATGGATGAAGATTAGTTGGTTGGTGTGGGACTGACGGTGGGGGGGGGCAGGTGCTCTGGACGGCTCGTTACCGCTGATTATATGTCCAGGCTTCAAGGTGCTGCTGAGGGCCGTGGGGGGTGGGGGGGGGTGAATGCCATTGGGAGGGGAAGTCTGTCTCTGGTTTCATCCCTTAATTACAGTGCGTCTCTGGCTCCGGGGGGTCAGGCTGAGGGTCTGATTCTGACCCCCCCCAAACACAGAAACACTCCCCCCTTTTCCTTACCTGGGTGTGGCTTCTACTCCACTGCATTACCTAATGGACCTGAACAGATGCTGTAGAGTTGCCCCCTCAGTGCACTTCCCTCATGTGTATGACCCCCTGACCCCCTACTCCTGCCTCCGCCCCAGACCCCAAGCCCCGCCCACACACATTCCAGCCGCGAGCAGGTGTTACCTGACTTTCTGCTGGTTGCAGTGTAGTAAAGGTCTCAACGGCCTCGTTTTTGTTTGCGGATTAATGGTGGCGGTATCTCTAGTGGTTCCAGAAGAGTCATGCTGGGGTTAGCGGTGGGTAGCGGTTAGGGCTGGATAGAGGAGGTATCAGGGTATCGAGGAAGCCACAAATTTGCCGATCATGCAGAGCAAACGCGTTCGGCAATAAAAGGTAAATCACAGCAGTCAGAGGAGAGGGCAGAACAGCGCCCCACGCAGGCTATGAAGGTGTTGGCTCATGCACTGGCTGTTGTATCCCGTTTTGTGAAATGTGTGCATGGACTGTATAAGTGGGTGAAGCTTCCAGAAGCTTCTGCCAGCCCCCAATGTGGGGTAATGCTGAGATTCCGTCTTTGAGCCCCTCCTCTCTCCTCTCCTCCCGCAGGCAGCGGGCTGATGGGAAACTCCTCGGCCTCCTTCATGGGGACGTTCCTGGCCGGGGGCCTGGGTTCCCCCCCCTCACATGCGCCCCATCCCTCGGGACCCCCGTCGTCGCCCTCCTCACCCCCCTTCCGTGGGGGACCCCACTCCAGCGCCTCCCAGATCTGGTTTCCCCACTCTCATGAAGGTAGGGTGATCACGCTCACACACACACACACACACACGCACACACACACACGCACACACACTCACACACACACACACACACGCACACACACACACGCACACACACTCACACACACACA